AAAAAAAATAAAAAAAATGACGCGTACAACAGAAACTATACCAGTCAAGCGTGTATTTGTGATTTCCGCAGGCTTATCTCTAAGTGGTATTTACATACACTATTCGTCGTATTAAAAAGGTGGACCGCGTCAAATTTTACTGAAAAATTTACTGTACGACTCAATACTTAATATCTTTTATTTCTTAAATGTGTGAATGGTTAAAATTTTTAAAAAATGGTAAGATGTTCACTCGTTTTAAATACACAATGTATTAACTTTTTTTTTATGATATATTATTACTGGAATATATATCGTTCATTGGAACAATAAAAATAAAAGATAAAATAAAAATGGAAATAAGTACTCATTTTTTAGATAAATTTGTTAGAAATATTGTCATAATTATTACGTACATATTTTATTATTGAGCTTTTATAAATATCTATCGAATAAACAAAAGCTTTAAAGAACAATTCGTTGAATTCTAGACGTGTTTTTGATATAAAACAAAAATGATAAAGTCTTAAATTTTTAATAATACGATACAATTTTATTCACTGTGTTTTGCTGGAAAAAATATTTAGTAAGATACAAAAAATGTAACAATTAAGTAACCAAAACATAAGGAAAGAAGTTAATTAATTAATCAACTGCCTCAACGTTGGCTTCCAAAAAAATTAACATATTAAACAAACAGAAAAACCCGCTTGCCTAAAAAAATAAATCATACAAAAACAACGTCAAACGGAAACTATTATAACATTCATCTAAAAAACGGTAAGACTAAAAAACCAAAAAAAAATTTAAAATAAATGAAAATTTTTTCCATCTTTAGGAAAAAAAAATTTTTTTATTGTATTTTACGTCTTTTTCTGAACTTTGAGCATATGACCCTGTTCTCAATATATACAGTCAACAAAACTTCAAACGTCCTGTACTAATTGTGTGAGATGCGCAACATAAAGAAAAATTTGCGAATTTAGAAAAAAGGAAAACATGAAATTTTCCTTTCAAAAATGGACAATGGAAGAGTGTTAAAAACAAAAAAGACGTCAAAAAGTTATTACATGAAAGGAGAAAAAATAGTGAACAAACGTCCTAGACGTCGTGTTGGAGGCGATTAAAAATGAGTTAATCAAACTATCGTACATATACGTCATGAACAAAAATTATAATAACAAATGAATACTTTCACCTTAAGTCCGTATGTCTCTTCTCAGGAACGGAATCATGTAAAGAGTCGTTAAAAATGTAAAACAACAAAACAATTATTTAAAGAATATATAAACAGGGGACCGATTGAAACGGTGGATAATAAGAAAAAAAATAAGCGTGCAAAAAGTCGCTAGACTTTAAAAAAAAAAAAAAAAAAAAAAGTATATATATTCATTTAAGGTTAAGGAGAGATAACAAGTTGATGAAAAATAACAGGGACAAGCTAAGAGGGGAAGGAGAGAAGGAAATAATAATAATAAGATAAGAAAACTACGAGCTACGCATGAATGCAAAGCAAATAATTGGAGATGATGAGACGAAGGCGGGCGATGATGAAAAAAAGAGAGAGAAAACGCAAAAATCCTTTAAAGTGTCCCTGGATACTACTAAGTCTTCCATTATTCGTACGTTAATGTTTAAACTGATGAGTATATTTGAAGTGAAAAAAAAAAAAAAAAAAAAAAAAAAAAAAAAAAAAAATTACAAAGTGTAACATATAAATTTATCGAACTCATCATATCGATAACTATTAACTATAAACTGAAAAAAAATATTTAAAAAAAATTATAACAATAATAATAATTTACTTACACGAGCATAAAAGCACGTGCAGCGGCGACGAAGTGTTTTTTGCGCAGAGGGTGAAAAATAAAGGCGAGGTTCTCTAGCGAGCGATTACTCGATTGTTGTTCGATTGTTTCATAAGTAAGTAGCGTTTATTTTTAATTGATAGAAAGAAAAATAAGAAAACTGTTGTTACTAGATAGATAGAAATTTTTCATTCATCATATTATAGTGTTGACGAGACTACAGAGGATATTATAGAGATGTTGTACGTTAATTGTAGCTATGAAATTATCTGTTGATGTTTGAATATAAAATCTATTTGAGACATTTTTTTAATCAGTTGATTTTTTCATGGATAATTTAGACGGATCGATAAAGAGTATTGTAGAGAGGAAAAAAAAAAAAAAAAAAAACAATTGATATGCACCAACAGATCGAGTAATCGCTCTGACAGCTAAAAAGTATTAACGCGATGGAATTCAAATGCTACGAAAATTTTGTATGTCCTTTGGAGTAAAAATTATACCTGTTCGCGTTTTAATAATGAATGTCATCCATCTGCTTAGCTATGGTAAAAAATGAGCAAAAAATAACAAAACCATTTATCAAAAAAAATAAATAAATAAATAAAATAAAATACACGAGTAAAGAAAGAGACAGAAACTTTATGAAACAAGGGACTCTGCGTCTGAGTTGCTCACGTGACTTTTAACAACATTACCTACTACGTAATAATATAAATAATAACGATAATGATAATAAACAATAATGATAATCGCCAGCGAAGATATGAATGTATAAAAGATAAATTGGCCTATTTTTGTATAATACTCAAAGTAATGCAGAAAAAAAAGTTGTAAAATGGAGAGCTCACACATACACAACACTTGCTCTTTATCTGTTTTTTCAACTAAATGTATTTACAATATATGCTAATAAGCAAGAGTTTCGTTCATTGTACTGTTGAAGATTGAAAATTTTAATTTTCAGCATGAAAAAAAAAAAAAAAAAAAATGTAGCAACTTTGGCACTCGGTCCCTCGCTTCGCTGAATTTCCACGGTTTTGAGAGTTTAAAAAAAATTCAGTATCAAGTATATAATTCATGTAGACGTCGATACATTTGATTATATGTCTAAAAAATCTGTCGTATGGCCTTCCTATGTTTGTGTAACTGTCATAAATGTCAATAGGCTTCGTTTAATTGTACAGACAACGCGAAACTTATGTAAGTCGATTAAATTTATATTTTTCAATTCTGATCGCAGAAATAAAATTATAGTCAACATGAACATTGATTTTAAATCCATTGCAAAAATTTTCAATAGTTATGATTAAATGTCAAAAAAAAAAAAAAAATTTCGCATTGTCCTTGAAAAAAAAGTGTATCGACGTCATAAAATAAAAAAATAAACATAAAAATAAAAATGTAATCTTGAGAGAATCGTGATACAGCGCCTCGAAAGAGAAACTCGCCTGCTCATCGTTTTCGCAATTTTTCCGATCTTTTCCGGCCACGTGTATACACATTTCGCGAGTACTTTATTACTGTAAAACAAGCAAACAAAAAAAAATAATAAAAATAATGATAACAAAAATAAATAAAAACCTGTTTATTACTTAATGGGCTTTGCGTTACTTGTGTCCCTCATGTCAAGTTTTTACACGCATATACCTAACATACCTCATTTATTGCAATTGTACGCGCAAAAAATTAAAAATCACGAATTCTTGCTCTTCATTCGAATTAAAAACAAAAAAATACCTGCACTCAAGCGAGAATTCTAAATTTAATTTCTTTCCATAAATATTGTACGTACGCTAGCATCAAAATTTTCATGCATACACAAAAGCTTCGAGCGAAAGTTTGGCAACGAATTTATCGACAATAAGACATCAAAGGGCCAAATTTTTATCTTTAGAAGAAATTCCGTACGTGATTTATGAAAACAAGTACGTATACAATTTATTTTTGTATTAAAATAATTTTTTTGTAAATGGTTTGGACACGCACTCATTATGCTACGCACTATTATTGTGAAAATTTCTTTGTACATAAAATATTTATAAAGATTTGAAATTTTCGTAGGGAAAAAGATGTTGAATTACTTACCGATGGAATTTGCCCTTTGCCGACGATAAATTCGACAAGATCAAGCAATGCATGGAAAGAGTCACAGAGCCATGTGGAAAAAGTCATTGCGTGCGATTATCAATGAAATAATGAGATGGAATGAAAAAATGGGGCATAATTTTTTACTCTTCAATTGAAATCTATTCAAATTTAATATGTGACGCAAAAGACTGCAAAGAACATAAAAATATATTTAAAAAAAAAATTATATTAACGATGACAAAATTTTAGTGATTAGGTTTCTCATTTTGTAAATACTACAAGTATTGTACGCAAAAAAGAAAGAAAATCATGTGAAGAGTACTGATTGTACACAAGAGAATGCAGAAGTGTGTGTGTGTGCGTATCTTATTGATGATGTTATTAGTAAGTAACGAAAAAGAGAGAGAGAGAGAGTATTTTAAAAGGTTTAGCAAAAGCAGACGAATCCAATAGTAAATTTTAAACCAATAGTCGTAAAACCAAAGTAAAATTACTGGTTAACCAAAAGTAAAGAGAATTGCAGTTATATATTGAAAATAAATAGATTGATTGATAACGCGAAAATAGTGAGTTACGCTGGAGCGTGCGAGATGTATAAATAAAAAAGAATCGGTAATAGATGCGCCGAGCAAAAAAATAAGATACTAGGAAATGAACGCGGCTTTTAGATTTGAGTAAAATTTACCAGGCCACAGTGTGGTGCAAACGAGACAAAATATTGAATCAAACATTCGCTCGCCACTTGAATGAACAAAAATTTAATTTAATGAATGAAAAAATGGGAATAATCGTAGCGTTACTCATTGAATGAATGCAGTTTACTCAATCATAATAAGGCTTCAAATAGCTTCGAACAGATTCTCAAAGCAAGATCGCAAATTCCTAAACATACATTTAAAAATGTAAAAATATCAAGGTCTATTGTATAGCAATAAAAATTATGTATCACGACGAGTGTCACTTGAAATTTTCGTCTTTTATTTGAATGACTCTGTTTTCCTTTTTGTTTCTACAAATTTCAATCGTAAATTTCAATAAATAAATCAATATACAAATAAATAATTTTAAATTACACTTACAATGCGGTATATTTACAAAATTAAATTTCTATTACAAAAAGTTTCTATATGTACATCTTACAAAAGCTATGGTTTTCAAGGAAAAAAATATACAAAAATTATCAAAATTCAATATAAAATGGTACATAAAATTCCTACAGTAATAACAATGTAAATCAATTGATTTTTCTCGACTTAAAATATTTGTATCAAAATTAATCGACTAATTTTATGGGCAATCCACGCATAACAATGGCAGCTGACGTCATAAATTGCTTACACACATCCTTCGATATTGCCACAGCGAGGAGCATGTCCTGTTCGTTTTCAATTATGGTTCTCGTCAATTTTTTATCTTTATTTGTGTATTCTGAAAATTACATTTTTTTAGATAATTAAAAAAATAATTATTTAGCATACAATTTAATAAAATCATACCAATTAACCCTCGATTCCATGAAACTTTATCTACATCTGACCATGGCTTCTTCACTTTCGATGGAATCCACTTGCTCATAAATTCTGCAGTCATTCTATCAATATCACCGTCTGTTACCTCCCACAACATTCCCAGTATGCATGGACTAAAAATTAAAAAAATTAATAAATTGATGGAAAATTTTTATTAAGCTGAAAAATTTTCTTGATTCTTTTTTTATTCACCTGCAAGCCATCAAATACTGATACGATACTCCATATGGTGCTTGTCGACCTCCAACAGGTAAGAGTTTTAAGCTACTACAACCAAATAATAATACTGACGCGATAACTCGCATCCTTTCGATATCCTCGCCTTTCATAAATTGTACACCGCTACCATGCCCATTGTACATTAATATTTCATGCTGCATAAGAGCTTTTTTGAAAAATTCAATGTCTGGTTTAATTCCATACAAGCCCTCCCACTTAGGTAGCCAATGATTTAAGAATGATCTAATCCTAGTTTCCATGTGCATTAGGTCTAAAGATGGATTTACAATAAAAGTGCCAATATTATCACTATGATGAACAATTTTGTAACCATTCTTGATCGAACTTTTATGCTGTTCAAAAAGAGCATATAAAATGTGTAATGATGGAAATCTCGTTACTGGCTGATGCTTCAGCAACTGCATTGACTCAAATGAAATGTGATCTAAGCACTGTAAAATACAAACGTCCAAGAGTGAAACACGTGTACTTTTAAATCGAAATAGTCTTAGATGTACTCACTTCGTCCAGGATTAAAAGCAATACTTTTCTTTTTGCATCCTTCAAGGGTTCTATTACTTTGTTTTTAGCTATGATTGATAAAATAATATTTTTCGCAAGCTTCTTTTGTGTTGGTAAAACATACTTCACTGCTCTTTCAATTTCAAAAGATTTCAAATACCAAGCACTAGTAGCAATTTTTTTTAAAAGCCAGCGTGTTCTTTGAGATATGGTTTTTCTGCAATCATAGGGAATAAAAATGTGCATAAAAATAACAGGAATTAATGTATACTTCAAAAAAAAAAAAACAATATTTACCTAGAAGTATTATCGTCTGCTATAAGCTTGTCGATCATACTGTGAATATCTTGCACTAAATCCAAATTATCGATATAGTCTGCTTGAAAAAGAATTTTCCATTCTTTCAACCAAGAACACTCTAGTTCTTGAATCGCAATCTGCCCAAAAAGTTTTATAAAATTAAAACAAATTTACTCGTTTTCAATTCATGGTTTCTACAAATAACTACTTACACTCATCTGGTCATTTTGTTTTTTACGCATTTTCCAATATAAATCTTTATTGCAATATACAGCAGTTAAATCAGATTTATTGTTATTCAATAATTTTTCAATCTCTGTGCGCAAGTCATACGAAGAATCTCCATCAGGCTTTGGCACAGTGATACAAATTGGATCTATGGCATTTTCCCCTGTTGGAATGACAACTAAATGAAGACCATGAGTTGGTTTTAACAAATATGAATATTCCTCATTTTGAATTCTATGCCTCGAGTCCTTCAAGGGCTCATGCACTGCTGTTACTTGTACCACGTACCACTCTGTAAAATAATTTTTCAAATCGTCAACCAAGTCCTGTTTAGAATAAATCAGCATATCTGAGACTTAGTATGTACCTGATGGTAGTTTTTTAACAGTAGACATCACTGTTTTGGAACTGGTAATTGAACAACGATTATCGACATCCAAGTGATTGGGATCTAAATTTAAAACCATTGGTTGCTTAATTATGTCAGCCCTGAGTTTTGATTTTAAGTGTCTGAGGAAAATCTGTTGCCGTAAACAATTTGCATGGGATGCTATGAGGTGACAGCAGGCTTCGAGTTCTTTGCCATTCTTTGAAAAATAAAAACAAAATCAATTTTGTACAAAGACATAAAGAAATTTTTTAACGACATTAATTACACAGAACTAGTATACAACAATATTAAATAAACCAATGACAAAAACAAAACTATCAGAATATAAAATACACAAATTATTGTAAAATTTGAAACAGAGATAGATTTTACTGTAAGGATGCAGTTTTTACAAAAAAAAAAATAAACTCACGGCGATGCAGACGATAGCAAGAATCTTCCTAATGGACGTAGTCTCCGAGACAGCGATATTTAGCTGATTGACCCTGAAAAACTCGTTCAGCTGAGTCTCCAGTTGCTTGAGAGTGGCGGGTGGCCTCGGTTTCGTCCTACTTCTACCGAGTAATTTATTTAAGGTAATTTTGGTGAGATCAGGAGCACCTCGCTGCTGCTGCTCGGGCGACGCTGGCGCGAATTGATGCTTCCCCAGGTAAGAAATGTTCCTCTGCAGCTGAGAGTCCACTCCTAGATGTTGGGATGGGCGAGACGAGGGTAACTCGCGCAGTGCACTCTCCGTCGGCGAAGACATTCTGCAGGTGTGTCGTCGTCGACCAGGAAAGGATATGACAATATATCAAACCTTTGGTCCTTTAAACTTTAAACCGCTGATGTTTTTAAATTTTGATTGTTGTGACCGTTGACACACTAGCATGCCCGCTTTTTTTAACACTAGGTTAGGTTGGTGTGTTGCGTTGGAGCGCCATCTAGTTCAATGAAACCAAACGAGATCAGTTCGCGCGCGAAATTTGAACGAACTTATTCTGAAGCAGTGCCATTATTACAGTGAATAGTTTTTCATAAAAAATTATTTCAATGAATAAAAAAAATAATACTATCAACATTGCGATTTACATAATTGCTGTCTCTTACATCAGGATTTTTTTGAAAGAACGGAATTTGGAACTGAACAAGTGTTAAAGTTTAAATTCTATTTTATTCGATTGAATTGAATATTACACTAGAAAACTCAATGAGTAGTTTTTTAAATGCACGTGTAAAAAACAGTCGTGTAATGCAAACATATTAATAATTAGCATAATGTACTTTGTCATGTGCGCGTAATCTGGTTAAGAAATTTTGAAATAAATACTGAATTAAAACGGTGACTAATTAAGTATCCAAATTTCGTGAAAAATGAAAATTTTCAGAGCAGGAAGGGCTTTACGATATTATTTCACTAGACCCTTATTAATTAACCAAATGTTAAAGTAAAAAGCTTCACAATTTTATATAATTTTGCTTCTCTTGAAACAAAAAAATGCAACTACTGAAATATTCGAATTAAATAATAATAATTACACACGGAGCTTTCCGAATAAAAATGTTATCTCGAGCGAGTACAATCAATACAAACGCATAGTCGCACAATTTTATCCACTCGAAAGCCTGCGATTAAAAAAAAAAAAGATTTCAACGTAGCACGGAAATTGTCTGCTTATCTCTCGAGCTGAGTATTGCTTTAAATTGAAGAAATTCGCTTCGCGATTCCAATCCCACAGCACCGAACCAAAGCTTATAATGAGGTGCAACAAAGTCAGCGTAAAATATACGCCACCGGCTCGCGATTGAAGAAAAAGTTGAGCTTGGCGCTCAGTACCTTCCTCCTACCTAAGTATATCTTCATACTCTTTTTCGTCCATTGTGTTCCATAGGAAATTGAAACTTTACGTATTTCTTTGATCACATTGCAAGAAATTTTCATCCAACATCTTACCATCTCAAGATTAAAGTGACTCTCCACAAAAGAATGTTTATTCCTTGCATTCAAATAATTATTTTAAAATGATTAGTAAAAAAAAATACTTCTAATTTATGTCTCCGGCGCTGCCACTTACGTTAATACGTTTTTCTATTCACTCATATTACCACCATCATCGTACCAATAACCCACCGATAATGTAATTGTACAGTTTAACAAACAATACCAGGTTCAACAAAATGTAATTAAAAGTACAATATTCCTTAGTACCTCTATTTGCAAGTTGTCCTGTGTTCTTGCCAGGTCTAGAATAATGAAAATTTTACGTCAATGATAATATTCAACTTTTGTGAAATAAAAGTACACTTTAACATTATTACTTATTTAAATGTGTTTTTAAGCATCTTCCACCTCTGCTTGTATTCCTGGTATAATTCGCGATGTATAATTGCATGATGTACTTATAAAATATTCTCTTGTAGCACTTTTGTGAGCCATAATGTTAGGATGGGAATTGGGTGCAATTACTATTCTTATCATAGTTACGTATCTTATACTTGTTACCAACAAGGGAAGTTGAGACGGATAAAAAAGTTGTAGTTAATTGGCAGGTACATTGTCAAGATCAGTTCCTGTTTTTTGACATCTCTGAGGGGGAATTAACACTCAAGGGGGTATTATTATTCCAAGGGGCACGTGCTGGATTTTGTGGTAATAATAGGCACGCGTAGACGTATACCTACATGCTGTCATAAAGCCTCTCCACGCTGAGATAACGAGTCACGAACAAACATCCGCGATTGTGTGTACACATTGGTATGTATACCCTGTGTACACAATATTACAGGAATAGCGCCGTGCGAGAGTATATTATATTATACCTAGTGTATCATTGTATGCGATACACGTGTCTGCGTGTTATACGTATACATGTATAAGTATTATATACATCTCAGTCTGCGAAAACAAGATGTTCTTTGACTTCCTGTGGCTTGTCATACAAACGTACTTGCCCATCATTAAAACGTTATTGTTTACTCTGGCCGGGAACAAGGTGTCTTTCTCCGAAAAACTGGTGGGTATAAAGTGAAAAGTAGGTATGTGGTTAAATGGAATTCAATTTCAATATTTGCGGAACAAGTTGAGGAAACAGAAAAATTGTCCTCGTAATCTTTCGAATATTTTACATCAAGTATATGTACCGCAAGAGCTTTTGTAGACATTAAATTTTCATACTTTGTTATTTGGCTTATCTCGGGGCTAAAGTGCAAAGCTTTGTTTTTTTTTGTTTTTTTGTTTTTTTTCCACGATGGCAAGAAAATGGGCTTATTGTTTGCTTTATTTCAATAGTGAAGGACAAAAGATAACCGAACTTTTAGAACATCTAAATGACATACTTGAGCCGGGATATTTTGAGTTACGACACATAACAATTCAGGTACATTGAACTCAGTTAACAAACAAAATACCATAGGTAATTATTTAAAAATATTGCAAAAATACTTTGCGAACACCCTGTACAAAGCAAAATATAAAACCTAAGAAAAAAAAAAAAAAAAAAAAAAAAAAAAAAAAAAAAAAAAAAAAAAAAAAANAAAAAAAAAATTGTAAACAGAAAAAACAAGAAAGCAGTACAGTTAAAAAAAACGTGCCATTCGGCTCCATAGTATTGTATGCATATGAATTTCCAGAGTAAAATTTCCAAAAATAAGGTAAGCTAAAAATAGCGGATGGAATACATGCGCGCGTATGTATATTGCATTACATGCATATACCGCGAATCGATTAGATTCCGCGGTGCAAGAGCTCGAGTTGAATATTTATGGACGCCCAGCTCTGTTGGCCCGCAAAAGCGCTTTTCCGAAAGTGCTGCTCAATGTTTTTCTTCCCATTTTTTTCCCTTGCACCTATACTATATACATACGTACATATATACGTTTGCAAGGTGTATTAACGTATGCACGTCGTCGTGGCATTGAGTTTTTCCGCCGCGTGTACACATTGTACACGTCAAACGTGCGGGCACCCATACCTACGTGCACACGAGCCGATCGATGCAACGACCCAAGCATTGTTCCCTCTTGCCTGCGCTTCGAAAATTAAATTTTTCCACCCCCCCAACGGGAAAAAAAACGCTACTCTGGATATAAATAATGGGTACTCGTGGGGATGAGGGTTTTCCGAATTTCCCAAGCAACAGGTCAAGCCAAACGCCTCCCAACAGCTAAATTAATCATCCCTTCGCTCGGCAAAATCAAAATCAACGAGCACAAGAGACGCGATTGCAATTCCCATCAAGTGTTTTTTCCCCCCCCCCCCACACGGAGCACCTGCTTGATGATGTAAACAAACGGGGGGGGGGGGAGATCCAACTCTTGCTTGAATCTTTGGAGCTCCGGCTGGCGGAGCAAGCCTCAATGAACAAGTTACGCAAGGAAATGAAAATAACGAGCGGCCGGGCGGAAAATGGGTCAATTAGAGCGAGCCGGCAAGGGCACCGCCTACCTCGCGCCCTTTGTCTCCTTCGAGTGCTCGAGTACATACACACGTTGGAACGAGAGAGAAAAAGAAGACGAGATAACGCGCGAGGCTATACACCGTTGTGTGCGGCTGTGTAGGAGTGATGGTTATACGTGGGCACTCGAAATCGAATCATTGGGGTAAAGTTTTTTAAAGAATGGAGAGATAAGACCGGTTGAGGGGTTGATTTATGTTATTTTTTTTTTTTTTTTTTTTTTTTTTTGTTCATACAAATGGATCGTATTTTACGGCTAACGGTGCACGTGTGTACATCGCGTGACGCCAAGACCGGAAGGATAATGAATCACCTCGTTTTTCAATATTGTTATAATGTGTAGCGTGCGCTCGTATGTATCCATCATGAGTTTGCGTGGTGTTTTTTTTTTTTTTTTTCTTATTGTATTTAAACGTATAGCATAAATTACTCGCGACACACTTTGCACAAAATAACTCGCGGGGGTGTTTTATGCTGAAAAAAGGCGGTGGTAGCGGGTACAGCTGATGTAGGTGGAAGAAAGAGGTGCTATGGAGAAGGAGACTTGGGAACTCTCGACTCGAGAGACCTGAAAGCTTTTTACGATGGCTATTGTATCACGAGTACACATATTATATACACGCACACAAGACGCGCCAACTTGAATCCAATACTCGAGCTCGTCTCGGTCGATGTCAATCGTAGTGTAATAATATTAACGGTCCACGTGGCCGCGAAGGACAATTGATCGAGCATCGAGTAAGACGTGACAAAAGTCAAACACTTCCCAATGACCATACGTGTACTTATGGATGGAGTGGGTACAACGGAGGGATTTAGTTTTTATTGAAATATCATACTTTTTCCCTCTTTGGAGATAGAATCGAAAAAAGTGATAAAAGAAAGCAACCTGGCGGTTTTCCCCAAGTTAGGCAACCCATGCCCAACAACAATGTCAGACATCAAACACAGAGGTATGTACGTACAGGTGCTTGAAAAAGCTCTGGGAGGGCGGAGTCATTAAAATTACCACTACGACAGAAATAATCTCTCGCAAAAGCAAGCATCTGAAGGAGGACACGCATCACAAGTACAATAATTACAATTCCCCGGAACAGCTCGGGTGCCGGCTTTGTGCAGCGCATTATCCCCTCTGTATAATTTCACGTATATATCCGACGCCGCCCTTGCGTATACCCAAGACCCATTAGCCGAGGAGCTCGTTATAATTTTCGTATAAGAGCATAAAGCACAGGGGTATACGCGCGATACACCGCGCGTGGAGTGCAGTTGGTGGTAAATGTGCAACGGGATGATTTCATTGGTGGGTAATTAATTTCGGGGCCAACTGGAGACTTTACGCACGTGTGCTTTTAGATTATAGTCCTGTATGGAGTAATAT